ACTGGAAAAGAACCAGCAAATTTCAGTTTTCCAAAATATTTAAATAAATGAGTGTTTGGTGCAACAGAACTACAACCATTTGGTGTGTTTGGAGTCGTGTTTTTGGACAGGAACAATGGGTTTCTTCTCAGAAGCTGCAAGTGAAAACAAGTATTATCAGGACATCAGAAGCATGCCAGTGGTCAGGAAGTCTCCCATTATCCTTTTAGGAAAAATGTTAAGCGTTGGCCATTTTTCAGCTTCTAAATACATTCCTGGATTTTCCATCAATGGAGTTAAATCAGTTAAAAACATGACCATGATGAACTTAACACTGATAGAACAGCCTTTTACTTTAGAAAAATAGCACTTTTCACTATAAAATCTGAACTAGAAAACATGCTTGTGCGTGAATGACTTTTGTTTATCTGCTTTCATTACAACCCGCAGATGTGCTCCATGTCCTCCTCCAGCCTCCCTGCGGGAGCATTTAGTGTTCCCACTTCAACATCAGCTCCATTTTCAAATCATTCAGGTGTTTTGACGGAATATCCAGAGCCAGTGATCACCCTGATTTTTCCCTTTAAAGGATTAAACATGAGCTGTAAATCCGATCATATTCCAATGCAGGCAACTGGGCTCTCTGCACATCCATCTTGGGGCCATAATCTCACTGCTCTGGCTCTAATTATCCCATGAGATTAGATCTATGAGCCACAAGATCATGTTGCACTGATCAGATGATTAGATTAGTTTCTATGATCTCCAAGCCTATTTGAGATGATTGCTTTCCTGCACCTTAGATGTTCATTTGAGGGTATGCTGACAGGACAACAGCTGTATGGAAGGGCAGGGGTGGGGGAGGGGTGTCACCGACATATCAAACATGATGTTGGAGAAGCAGAGAACTTTTTCTTTGGGGTTTCTCCTTGGCTGGAAAAGCCCTTCTTCTTTTCCAGAAACATCAAAAGTGGGTCAGACAGGGCAGAGCTGACAGCAGTCTACAAGTGATGCTGCAGCTGTGTCCTCACACGTGTGTGTGTGTGTGTGTGTGTGTGTGTTTGTGTGTGTGTGTGTGTGTGTGTGTGTGTGTGTGTGTGTGTGTGTGTGTGTGTGTGTGTGTGTGTGTGTGTGTGTGTGTGTGTGTGTGTGTGTGTGTGTGTGTGTGTGGGCTGGTCCCTTTTTCATGCACTGCTTGCTTCGCACCGGGCTTTGGCACATGCGTGTCTGCACAAACACAGGCATGACACTTTGAGACAGAGTAGGGAATGAGGGAGCTGTAGAGACCACTTAGGAGAGAGGGAGAAAAATCACCCCCCACCCTCTCTATGTGACAGTCCAATTTATATGTGAAGAGCAGACCTTGGCTGCTGAAAAGAATAGTGATGGGAATTCCGGCTCTTTTTAGAGAGCCGGTTGTTTCGGCTCAGCTCACCAAAAAGAGCCGGCTCATTCGGCTCCCAGGTGGCTCCACAGATTTTCTGATGCGTAAAGTATATTTATCACCAAAAATAATGCTAAACTACATGTAAAATTATTTACTAATGTAAACACATGCAATATATCAAATATTTATCCTCCTACTGCTCTTTATGTGAACAGTCTGGGCACGCAGTTACACATGTTGACCAACCAAAGCAAGAGGGGGAGGGAAGGGAGGGTGACGGCTCCCAATGACGAGCCGGCTCCCGTCGTTCACTTCACAGAGCCGGCTCTTAGAGCCGATTCGTTCGCGACCGACACCACTAGAAAAGACCACTCTGAAATCTTGTGGCTCTGATACACATTGTTTTCCAAGGAAACCCCCTGCTGATGCCAAGCCACTCACTCTTGTTTCCCTAGAAACAGAGAAGTGGCACGCAGAAACATACAGTGCTTGTGTTGTAAAAACCAACACCGATGCGACTGAGGAAAGTCCAACTCCCATCTGTGGTTCTTGTTTTGCCTTTTGGGCATGATTTAAAGGCAGAATGTTCTCGCAACAAAGAAGAAAAAGGCAAGGAAGATAAAAAGAATAAAGAAAAAGGAGCATAAGAAATTTCTGCTTCGGGAATATGGCTGTAACATTTTAACGTGCATTTTGATCAGATATCTGAATAATTTATAGTTCACCTTTAAAAAAAACATTTTTGAAGATGTCCATCTTAATCTGCTGCAAAGCTCTGAAGATCAAAGCCTGCAGGGGAAAACTGTGTGAGATATGCAGGTTACCCCACCCCAGGGAACCCATCCAGCATCGTATGATTTATAGCAACAGCGAGGGAGCCAAGTGCACACACACACACACACACACACACACACACACACACACACACACACACACACACACACACACACACACACACACACACACACACACACACACACACACACACACACACGGTTTTACTTAACCAGCCAGCACTTAGGCAGTTTTAATTATTACAGATTGCTCTCTGCTGATCTGTCTCCGTTGCTCAAAGTCCCAGATCGATCGCAGCGTTGCCAACTTGGTGCATCAACAGAAAAGTGTTTGCTTGAGGGAATAGTGCCTTCTTTAAAAATTCAAGTGAAAATGTTCATATGGAGCGGGCGGTCCGTTCAGGTTCTAGGAGTGAGGCTGATTTGAGACCCAATGTGTGCCGTGTCTCTAAAGAGCTCTTTGGACTTCTCTGATCAATATTTATCCTCAATTGGATTGGTGTTGCAACCAAATAAAAGGGCTGGATGACTGGGATTATTCTCTATGAACTAATCTTTTTTCTCCCTAAGTTACACAGAAATGATTTAAAATGTCAGGGACATTACACTTAGCCTAACTGTGAGCCTTCGGGGTAAAAAAAAAGCAACTTCCTGTTTGTTACTTATTAACTCGATCTTTTCTGATCAGAAAGCCCCCGACTGCCAGCGTTTATTACAGTTTTTTGATGAGTTACCAAATATTGTGCTCTATGACCATGTAAACCCCAGAACTACCAAAAGAAAGAGTAGACTCGCATCTTACATCAGGAAAAACCAGCGTGTTTCCAGCGTTTTCCACTGTTAAAGTGAGAGCTGCAGAAGCTTTGCTGGTTAGCGCCTCGCTTTAGCCATAGCAGCCTCCAAAAACGATCTCCTAATACATGGATTGTCTGCTTCATGATCACGTGATGTGTGACACACACGGATGAAAATCTACTTTAGAGCCGCAATGTTTACTCCCAAGGTCCGGGAGCTCGTATCCACTCCTGTTTAGTCGTCAGTGGCAGTGAATGAATTAAGGAGTTTTATGTTTCTGCTCAAAAATGCCCACCAGGACCAGCAGCAGTAACTCAGAAGGTAGAGCGGGTTGTCCAGTAATCGGAGGGTTGTAGGATCGATCTCAGCTCCAGACAGAAAGTACTGCTGTAGCGTCCTTGGGCAAGACACTTAACCCACCTTACCTGCTGGTGGTGGTCAGTGCTCGAAAGCCTCGCCTCTGTCAGTGCGTCCCAGAGCAACTGCGGCTGCAATGTAGCTAATCATGAATGTGTGTGAATGGGTGAATGACTGTGTTGTAAAGCACCTTGGGGGGTTCTAGGACTCTAGAAGGCACTATATCAAACACGGGCCATTTACCACACACTGATCCATTAAAATATAGCACCTCAGGCTAAAATTGATTTTATTTTATTGCCCTTTGTTTTGTAAGACTTTTAGGTCTCTCTGACTTGATATCATTAAACCAGATGCTCAAGGTAGATCAGTGAGGGAGTGTGTTTGTGAAATCACTAAAATGTGTTTTCTTCTGTGTCTTTTGTGTGCTGTGTGGACAAAACAGTTAAATCTCTTATTACCTTGTCAAAAAAAAGAACTTTTTAAAACAGAACATGTCTAAAATGGTCAAATTTGACCCTAGGATTGAGGCATTAAGTTTATATCAGGTAAAGCCTAAAGAAAACACTCGGAGGCTGTCTGCCCTGTGACGTTTCTCTGGAAGCACCACCGGAGTTTTGATTGACTTTAATGCAGAACAGAGGAATCCAGTCCTGTCAGCCTGTCTCGTGCCTGCTGGATGCACCCAGGCAGTCACATTCCTTTTCAGCCGCGTTGTCATTGTTCTGGTGAAGCAGCACAGCTGAATCCTGCAGCCGCGTTCCTCTGATCCAGCACCTTCCCTCTCAGGCTGCAGGAAATAAAAAAGATCTCAGAGATGTCATCACCTAGCATTACCATTTCAGATAAGAATGTCATGACCTGCAAAGTAACAGGGAAAACTTGACTCTGCCCTCAGCTAAAAGACCTATTGAGATCTTTTTTTCTCCCTACTCACATTTTTCTTTCAGGTAAGACGGCTCCGGCACAGTGCAGCTGATTTTTCATCTCCTGGGGCTTTCTCAGACTTAAATCCATCGTGATGGCTGTCTCTATAGTAAATCTTATGTTGAACATATATGTCCCCAGACACATACAGGTTTGCACATGCACACAGATCAAACGTTATGGTATGAATGCAACAGAAGGAGGCATTTACACAAGCTCCCGCATTAAATAAAACCCCCTCCATGGTTCCTTCTCCTTTTCCTTTTTAAATGTTCACCTTCACTCCTCCTTGTCTTGTAACATTCCCGCAAAATGCCAACAAAATGAAACATGACACGTTTAGCTGCAGAGGCTCGGTGCAATTTAACCATGGAGGATGTTTGTTTACTGTAAATACATGGGTAATTCCCCTGTCGGATCAGCTGGTAGCTGCAGAGTGCACGCTCTCATCCTGCGCACTAAGAGCTCAGAGAGGGTGCTGTTGGGTTCATTATGGGAGTCAGACAGCCACATATTAATTCTGATACCTATAATTGGATGGTCTATCTCTGAGCAGGATGGGATTTAGGTGCAGAGAAAGGCGATGGTGAGATTTGTCGGCTGAAAATCAGGCATCGAATGGGATTTTTTGACATTTTGCAGCTGAAACCTTTCCAACATAAGATGCTACTGCACATCATTTATATTAAATACTTTTTCTATTTGCATGTATAATGATTTAGATGTTCTAACTGTTCTCTTTCTGTTGATCCCTTCCACAGATCCCCAGCTCAAGGGTATAGTGACCAGGTTATATTGCAGGCAGGGATACTACTTGCAAATGAACCCTGATGGCTCTCTTGATGGGACCAAGGATGACAGCAGTAATTCTTGTAAGTATCCTAATGTTGGATTTCAGGTTTAAGATTTTAAAAATGTTCAAAGAAATTCCTACAACACATTTTTGGTAAACAGCTCTTCAGGCCCTGTTCAGCACTTTCTGGTGCAGAAATTGAACTTTTTCCAGTCGATCTCTAAACTTGAGGCCAACACATTCTCTCACGTTTTAGCTTTGGGAGGAAAAATGTGTCTCCTTAAAATGGACCTTACCCGTTTTCCCTTAGAGCAAGAGAAAGTGGACCAGGAAGCTTAACAGAGAGGAAAATGGTGTTATTAGCTTGTTCTGGAACAGCTCCACCAGCGCTTTGGGCTAGGTGGTTAATTTGATTCCAGGACCTGGTGCTAATGCTAGCTTGACACTTCACATTGTGTCATTTATTGCTGTCAGCAAGAAGAGATTTGGCACATGTCACATCTAATCAGCTGAAACAACTTTATACATAGTGTGGACATGGCAGATGGTCAACACATCTTTGAGATCAAATCAAACTTAACAGTTATTGGACGACTGTTTGAAAGCACCAATCCTGGTGTCATTTTCTGAGGTATAAACCTAACCCAAGACATGCAGAATCATGCGCAATAGCATAACAAAAAAATTTATTAGAAAAAGGAAAACTAAGGGCGCACTTACAATGTCAAGGAGGGGGCTGCATCTCCGGTGCAAGGTCAGGAAAGCAGAGAGTATTTTAATCTCCGTTCACAACAGTGATATTGGAGATAGGAACAAAAGGGTCTTATGGTCGGATGGCAAAGGTAAGGGCTCGGGGTGGGGGGGGGTGGGGGGGGGGGGGGGGGGGGAAACCAGGTCGGAGGATGAACGGAGGGAGAGGGGGTCGTACCGAGAGACGGGAGGAGACGTGGCCTGCTGTGATGTCCAGTGGGTTATGGATTAGGTGAGATAATGGAGAGTAAGAAACCTAGAGTTGCTCCCAAGAACAAAGGGTGAAAAACAGGCAAGAACTCCACAAGTGCATGTAATCCTAATACTTCATAGCTAGAGACAAGCAGCGCATGCTACCCAAGGTGAGTAATCATCCGGCAAGTTGAAGCCGTCTCACTCCTCTCTTTATAGTCTGTCTGGATGATGGAGTAACTAGTTCCACCTGCCCCCCCCCCCCCCCCCCCCCCCTCACACACACACACACACACACGCAAGACAGCTGCTGCTAGAGGAGCGGCGGTCATACTCCGAGCCCCTCCCAGATATGGGAGCTTCTTGGCTTATAACAGATTGAGCTTGTTTCTTAAAGTGACCGAGCACTGAAATGACTCATTCTGGAAGGTACTGAAAGTGTCAAGAGTACAACAGCTGAAAACGCTTTATGTGAGTGGAAGTTTACGTAAAGACCTACATAAACATGTTTTGTGTCGATCATAGAACTGTTACCATTTAAGAAAAAAAATGTCATAATATGTCATGAATTGCTGTGGCATTTAAGTGCTTTTTGCACACATGTGAGATGTTTTTTTTCTACTAAACACATATACAAAAACATTCTGAACATTCCTTTATGCTTCAGAAACTCCAAACACCCAACCATTCATCCAGTCAAAAGGGTTCAATTTGTGCCTTCAGGTATCAAATATACACACAAGCATGCTGTCACAGGCCACTGCTGTTGGTTTAACCTATCGGAACAAACAGCAGCAGCTCCAGTGACTCTGCTGCAACAACAAAAGTGCTGCAGTAGTAGCTATTCCTCTCAGGTAGAATCCCAAGGCTGATGAATCTACCTGACTCTTCCTAACTGATTTAAAACTACTTTTCTCATCTGAAACAGTAGTTAAACTATGAGCATCAATATATTAAAAACATAGGCACTATTGAGTGGTTTGTGAATGACAAAGTTTGTGTTTTATTGTGTCTTCCAGCTTTGTTTAACCTTATTCCAGTTGGCCTCAGAGTTGTCGCAATTCAGTCAGTGAAGACAGGATTATACATCGCCATGAACGGGGAGGGGCACCTCTACACATCAGTGAGTTCTATTCTATTCTATTCTATTCTATTCTATTTATAGGCTTGCTCTTTCTGTTTTACATATAAAATCATCCTTTGCATTTTTTCACATGCTTTAGGTGTAAAAAAAAAGTCTGAGTCTCAAAAATTGTATTTCTAAATCTGATCTTTTCAACATTTTTTCTCTATGAAAGTATTAATTATATTAAACACAGTTGATAATTAAGATATTTGAACAGTGCAAATCAACTAATTCCACTCCAGGTGAAAATGATCTGAAGTGTATTTTTAATTTTTAGTCAACTATGTGGTCCATTTGTTTGCAAGGAGGGGGCGGGGCATAATATGTGTCCAACAGCCAGCCACTAGGGGGCGAATTGGTTTATTTTGGCCTTCACTTCCATGTAATGTTTCTCCTTTCAGTCACTGTTGGGTGTGTTTTGATGGTTGTGATTCATCTTAAAGATTGTGACAAAACCATTTAGACTGGATTTAATAGTTTGGGCTGCAAAATGTCAGGTCAGCCTTTTTGTTTGGACCATGTTAAGCTAGTCTGAGATTGTACGTTACCATTGGGTGTGAGTGTTTGCTCGTTAGTCTTGTGATGAACTAATGGATGGATGGAAGGGTGGATGGATGGATGGATGGCTGGATGGATGGATGGATGGATGGATGGATGGATGGATGGATGGAAGGAAGGAAGGAAGGAAGGAAGGAAGGAAGGAAGGAAGGATGGATGGATGGATGGATGGATGGAGCGAGCAGTCACTCTTCTCTGAAGTCCCTGTTATTGACTCGCTCTCTTCAAACTTAACAGGCTGCACAGCCAAGGGAACAATAACGTTTTTTTTTTTTTAAATTTTATTTCTTACTCCTCCAGTCTGTCCTGCAACAGTCATACAAAATCAATCAGCCAGAGGAACCCTGAGAGGACTGCTCCTCTTTTAGACAGAAGCGTTATCTCTTCCTCCCTCCACTGTCCTCAGGTCTCTAATTCTCAGAGCACCAACCAGACATGTTTTTTTATAATTCCTCATTACCGTGGGGGTTAAGAGGTGCTCCTTACTTTTGTGAACTGTGATTCTCAAACGCTTAATTACTCAATTTTAAGCATGAAATGAAATTCATTTTAGCTGGACTGACCTAGAATCCTGTAGATTGAAAAGGGTCTAATACCATCTACAGGCACAATTATACTGCTAGAAGATAATCTTCTATTTGTTGGTTGTATAGAAACCATTTTATCTTGTAAAAACCAACTCCACACGCTCACATAGCTAATGGCTGAATATCTGTTATCAGAAATATGAGAAACAAAAATAGAAATAATCAGCAAGGATTCACAGTGACGTGCCAAATGCAATCAAATCACAGGAAGTTTAAAATATCCAAAAATATTCCACCAGTATGGACCCAAAAAAGATGCAGGGAGCTACTAACTTTTAATTAAATAGATAAATCTAAAAATTGCACAAAGGTGATGGTACATTGAATGCAATAAAAACATTTTAAGCTTAGTCTTCCAAACCGTTTACCCAAACAAAGACAAAAGAACAAGATCCACCTCTCATTCTGTCCATGGGTACTCCGAGAGCATCAAGTACTTCTGGAGTTCTTCATAAGTCAGAAGGAACAGCAAGATCTTTTAAGTGAAACGTCACTTTGATTTACAATAAATTATTTAAAGTTCTATTCAACATTTTACAAAAAAACACCAGTCTTTCATCCAGACTCATTAGAAACATTCAGCCGTCACACAACAGTTTGGACAGTTTGAAAAAGGTTTATACCAATTATGCAAATGAGAACAAGAAAGGGAAACTACAGTTTCATTCTTTTAACCTGTGGTGCACACGTTTGCAGATCAAAAGTAGACAGTACCCTGCAAACAGTCAACGTCGTATGAACGTGCAGATCATGTCTACATTGAGTCTGTCGGTCCAGACCACGTCTGTAGGATGCCCAAACTAGGTCTTTGCACAGTGGGTAAGGAAAATATTACCTGACATACAGGTAGACTTTTATCAGGTCATGGGAGTGCCTTCCTACAAAGCACTCTTAAACTAAAACTTACTTTTTTCATTATGGTGAAGGTTGTCAGTCATCCAGGTCATGGTAATCAAAAGGGTTCAAATGAAGGCAACTGGACTTTGGTTTCTTGAAGACGTTTCGCTTCTCATCTGAGGAGCTTTGTCAATTCTAACTGGAATATGGGAGAGTCAAGCTTATAAGCTGCAGCTGTCTATTGTTATTTAACTACCCTAAACTACTCTGGGTAACCCTCCTCTCTATCTCCTGATGACTCGTTATCCTTTATTGAGAGGACGTTGTGTTGATTAGATGCAGGAAGGTGTGATCTAGACTGAACCAGTTTAGGAATGAGATTCACAGCTGCATCATGTAGTTTATAAGCTTGACTTTCCCATATTCCAGTCAGAAATGACAAAGCTCCTTGGATGAGAAGTGAAACGCCTTCAAGAAACCAAGGAAGGGCAGTTGCCTCCATTTTAACCCTTTGGATAACTTTTTTGGTCATTTCCTACCAACGTTTTAATAATGTCTTTTAGGTTTCTCATTTTTACATATTTAATAACTGATTATATTTCCAGGTTAGAGAGCATACCACCACCCAACTACTGCTTTGGTTTTGCTCTTTTGTTTATCGGCAATCATTACAATCTTTTAATTGCTCAATAATCACACCTGATAGCTCGCTCTGTGCGTATTTTTCTCTGCATGTTGTCACCTCAGTTTAAGTCATGTTTTATTTGTCTTTATCTTCCGTGTCCTTGCAGCATCTTGTGGTTGGTATATTTTGTGAAACTCTAAAATTTCTACCTGCCAGTTCTTTGTTCACTTGCCTTTGTGATTTCTAAAATCCAGAATTTTCCTTAAAAAGTGACGTAACTGAGGAACTATGAAAGGTGGAGGAATGTACGAACAGACTGGTGTGTTTAAAGAATTTTAGGGCTTTTTGCTACTCGCTCATTGCGTGTTCAGGGCATTTATTTCCATGAAAGATCTTGATTCAGATTTTTATATTCTGTCCTTTAAGAATGCTACATAAAAACATCTGCCCTGATGTTCATAAATAACAAGTTTAGAAACCATTTTTACCTGTGATTTTTTTTGATTGTGCTAATTTACCCTGAGTTTCACAAGCAGGCTTAACGGGAGAGTAGTCTTCTACCCCTTTTTCCTGCATTAGCTGTTGATAGAAACACTCAGATTTGAAATTCTACTCAGATCTACGTCACACTATCAAATAACATTCATGAACTCACCCATCTTGGCTCATGACGAGGAAGGCTGTTGTTGATTTAACATCCAGGATTCGGCACAGCACATCTCGGCTTGCAGAAGCTAACCGCATTAGCATTACACATCATGGCAGAACTCCTTCGAGCCGTTAATTGTGGAGATAAAAAATCAACATTGCAAAATGATAAAAGTGCAGGGAGTTGCACTGCTGTTAGCCAATCAGACAGAGGCCGGATGTTAAAATATCAGGAAATAATAATGAATTAGACTCCAAAACATTCCGTGTTTTGCTCCCCACTCCCAACTTCTACTTCCTGAAACAAGAGTGCCAGAGCTTTTTCCCCACAGAGAATGACTCAAAAAACATTAATTTAAATTAGACTACTGCAAATGTGTTAACAACAAACAAACAGAGAACTTGGTCTTTAAAACTAGCTAAAAGGAAGGTTACATAGTGTTTATTTTTTATCAGGTGGAAAATACTTACTTTTTTTAAGCTCCAATTAAAAAATTGTGAAATGTCTTCACCCCATTTTCAGTGTTTGAAACTGTATTGATTTCCAGCTAAATAACTAGTAATTCCTGCTAGTAATTCAAATTTCCATCCTAAATCGTAGAGATTGCACCAAAGTCTCTGATCATCTTATTATTTGGTCCTGTAACCTCTTGACATTCTCATTTCAGGCTAAAGTGCTGTGAAGTGGAAACCAAGGGTTTGCTGTCTCCATCTGCAGCTTATTTCTCTGCTAATGGATGTTTTGATCAGATGTCAAATATCCCAAACACCCACTCGAAGGTCTCTTTTTGCTCCTGAGTGTGTGAATTACTCTGCTAATGGCAGCCTTGCAAGATGTTCTTCATCCTCCTCCTCCATCTCGAACACCCTCTTCTCTCTGCCTCCTCTCTTGTCTGCTCTGTAAGCTAGGTTCAACCATTTCTCCCATCATCACAAGAAAGAAAAACACTCCATCGACCTTTTCTAGCCATTAAGGGTGCTTTATACTTGTTCACTCGCATTTTCAAAACCCACTTTGGTGGAATATGAATGCGTGAAACTACATTGTCAGGAAAAAAAATATACAAATCCCAAAGCCAAGTTTCTCAAAGAGCCGGTCCTTTTTAACTAATTAGAATTCACTTGACCAGTTGTATTCTCCCACTGTCTTGCATTCATCACTGTGGCTTTTAGATGTACTTGGATAACGAGTGACACTTGAAGTGAATCAGAAGGAGAATTCCACTCAAGTCCTTTCAAGTCATCATAATCTTTTGTGCGAAGCACCCCGAGGCGCTGAGTGACGCTGGAACGACAGAGATAGCATCAAAGTGACGGTGCGGCCCAGCACAATAGACACACCACGGAATAAAGACAAGTCCAATCATCTTGCTTCTTTTCAGTCTGCTGCCTTTGTGTCTGAGCCAATGAACTCGGGGTTAATTCCTCTTCTGGACCGCTCTCTGAATGAAACATTTCTTTATCTGATCTAATAAAATTAGTCGTTCCCGACTTGTTGAACACGGAAGCAAAAGCAGAGCTTACAAAATTCTCCTGATACCTGATAATACAGATCATTAAACCAGACGCGTTGCAAGCTTTTCAAAAGTGTGGGGGATGTTGTCTGTGGATGTCATCAGTTGTAAATTGAAAGTCAACCTCAATCCAGTAACAGGTCCGCGCATGATTCACAGTAACAAAGTCCTTCCAAAATCGTTTGAGGCGGGACGGTTTCGACAAACTTTATTTGTCACTGAATGTTA